TTGTATGACATCCTGCATCAACAAGTTTTTGTATCCAGAAATGTTGCGTTTCATGAAGAACATTTCCCTTTTTATTCGGTGGCTTCTGCATCAGCATTAATAGATCCATTTCATGATCTTATTTTGCCTCTACCTGTACATGGAGAGATTTTAGAAGATGTTTCTGATGGTATCACTTCCAGTACATCTTCTTCTTATCCTGATCAATCATAGTTTCCACCAAAAACTTCTGTGCATCATTGAAGGTCCTTAAGAACAGTCCAGCCTCCCACATACCTTCACGATTTCAATTGCAGTTTATCTTGCCATCAGCCTAGTGTTGATAGCAAGATTCTATATCCTTTATTAAGCTACATCTCTGACAGTTCTCTTTTTACCCAATATCAGAACTTTTTCATAGCTGTATCTTATCGATATGAACCTTAATATTGTTGTTGGAAAGAGATTATACAAGTAGAGTTAAATACAAAGGAAGAAATAATACATGGATAGTAGTTTCTCTACCCTCAGTTAAATGTTTTATTGGGTGTAAGTAGATATATAAGATTAAAAAAAAGTTTAGATTGGATAAAGTTATTGAAAGGTACAACGTCCAGCTATTTGCTAAAGGCTATCTGTAGCCAAGTTAGTAACTGTGTTAAGTGTTGCTCATCAACACCACATAATTACTTAATGTTGATCTAGTTGAAGATATCTATACGGATGATGGTACTCAAAATTTTCTCACTTTCTTTTGAAATATGAGTTTACTTAATCTAAATCTGATTACTCTTTGTTTACAAAGGGTGTTGGTTCTTCTTTTGTGGCATTGTTAGTGATTGTGGATGACATAGTCATCACGGGTCCATCTCTTGATATCATTAATTCCTTGAAACAGTTTCTTCATGGTCAGTTCAAGTTCAAAGACTTGAGAAACTTAAGGTACTTTCTTAGCTTTAGCTTTGAAATTGCTCGTGCCTCTAAAGGAATTGTGTTATCTCAACACCATTACTACACTTTGTAACTACCTGAGGATATTGGATATCTTGCTTACAAGCATGCTTGTGTTCCAATGGGATCCTAGATTTCAGTTGCATGCAAGTGATGGCGAGTTAATTTCAAATCTTGCTCAGCGTAGGTTTTTTATTGATCTTCTACTTTATCTTGTTCTCTCTTGATCAAAGATATCACATATGTCAGTTCACACACCAAGCTAGTTTGTATCAAGTCAGCATGAGCATGATTTCAAGGCTTGAGACTGAGAGTGTCCTGAGTAAAAAAAGAAAAAGGAAAAAAGTGTCATCTTCCTCTTATGAGGATGTAAAGATTTCCCCTTCACTTGGATATCACAAATTTTCACCACTAAGGGCGGAGACGTTTGATTCTTTGGTCAATTTAGTTTGTAATTTTTTTAAAATAAAAGTTTGTCGTTAACTGACAAAACCATCTAAAAATTTTGTTACAAATCGAAAACCGGACCAACTGAACTAATTGCTTCAGCAAAACATTTTTAAATTTTCATTTTCTTATGTATGACATAAATATATTAAACAGTTATAATATGATAAAAATATATATGAAAAATAAAGATAGATATATATATATATATATACATTCATAAATGTTGAACTTCAAATTTTTGAAACCAAAAATCAATAGAAATAGTAAGAAAACTGATCAATTTAGGACTAGACCTAATAAACCAAAATAATTCCTTCATTGATTCAGTTTCCATTTGAACCAAATAATGTTCTCTCCTTACTGCCAGAGAAGGGTCCAATTTCCTCTTCTTTTTTATTTTATTATATTTAAAAAAAAAAACAAAGCTTGACTCTTTGCTTACAGCCCGGAGGGGCTTCTCTACTGAAGACCCCGACACTGCTCCACCATCAAGTGTATAATTTTGGGAGTCGAAGCTCATGTTAAGACTTCAACATTACATGTCCTACTTCCAAAGGCATTTCTAAAGAAACCCAATATTTCAAACTAAAAGATAATTTTGTAACTAGAATAATAGTGTCTTAAAAATCAAGGCCAATATATGATATGAACTATAATTATATATCCTAGAAAATATAAATGAAAGAACAAAAACAAAAGTATCTGTCAGAACTAGTACTATATATATTATCTATATGTCAGCTTTGCAGTTCATGCCATTTTAGATCAAGGTATTCCGGGACTACGTTACCACAGTCATTATTTTTTAATCAAACCATCTGTAGATTATGTATGTAAAGGAGAAAATCACATAGAGACTCACTTAAGTTGATTGTTCTCGAACCTCCAGCTTCTCCTACAGTCTACCAGTTTTGAGAACAGAAGTAATAATACCAAGAATTGCAGTTTCTAGAATTGAGACTCCACAAAACCTCCAAGGCCAAGGCATTAAATTGAGTAAACTTGTTCAAAACCCTAGGAAGTTCACCCATTACATATACTTGGAAGTTGCAGTTAAAGTGGATTGCAATAAATAGAAACAAATAGTATATGCTAAAGCTTTCCTTTTTGCAATCCATCTATTCATCCTGTCGCTAATTGAACAGATTACCATTAACCAGATTGATCAAACCCGGTTGTATGCAACTGACTTGCTGAAGAGGCGCCGAATATAAACAACCTGAAGAGCACTTGCAATAGCCAGCAAAATATATTCACCAACTGTGTATCCTATAACACGTTTTCTTGTGCTCTCATTAGCTGCAGAGGACCCAGTATAGCATATTAGTATTTGTTACAGTCATCAAAAGCCCCACATATCTAATAACCAAATCCTTGAAGATCATACAGTAAAGATACATTCAACATGAAATTAATAGGCACGTTTGTTCCCTAAATATTGATCAGACCATCCATAAATCTATAGGCTGACTGAAGAAACACGACCAAAGGGGTCTGACAATTAAATGATCAAACATGAACCAAATTTGAAAAAGTTTTTATGCAGTCATCAGATACTAACATTACATTTTCCAAAAAGAAATTATCGCTTAATGGTGGGTCAACTATATTCTCTTTCCCTCACCCCAATCACACCCATGGAAGAGATGGAAAAAGTAATTACGCTGGACTAACCACATTCTCTTTAGTTCACCACAATCAACCACACTTTCACACAAATCAAATAAACTATTTACTAGGCAGAAGAGACTTCCAAAAGTCTGGAAACCAGAGATTAGACATGTGACTTCCTAAGTAGCGGTTTTGTCAGATATGGCCAAAATTGAACATAAGAATTTGGCATCATTTTGCAGATAAAGCCTCTACATGGGATCTGATCAGTGGAAATTATAAGATGTTCACTGATTTGTAAGAAAAAAAAAATGATGCATGCAACATCATTGTTAATGCAGCGATTAAATTTATACCCTTAAGTTTGTGTTTCTATATCAACTTGGTGGACTCTAGAGCATTTTTCTGCTCATTTGGTTGTAAAGGAATGATTAGCCAAATTAAAAAAAAATTGTTCCATGGACTTCAGGTGCTTCCTGTTCCTTCAACTTAACTGTAGAACGAGAGAACAGAGAGAACAGAGAAAAAGTTTGTGTCTGTATTAGTCTCTCCAAATTGACAAGTATAAACCTGGTCGGCAGATCACCAAAGAGTCATTTGAGGACTTTGTGGAAAAAAGGGCTAGGAAAACACAACTTTTATCAATGCCTTAACGGATTTTGTTATTTACACTTTCTGATGCCTTGACAGTTAATCAAAAAATTGTTTCAGATAAGATACAAAAATGTATATGGTTGTTAGACAAAAGGTTCCTCTGAATCGTATCAGCTTGAAACGAAATACTTTTTTAGTACATTTTCAAGGATAAAACCATTGCGCAATAATGCTATTTTGACTTGGTATAAACTTTAGTATTTGGCCACTTCATAGGTTACACCAATAGGAACCTAGTCCTTGAAGTCCATCCATGGACTCAGTAGTCAGCACCACTAATTCACCTGATAGATTCTCTTGATTATGAACTATGTCAATGTACAATACAAGACATTTCTATCCATCCCAAATTGACTACAATTGATAGAGAATATATTTATATGTCCTGACTGTGACATCTTTTTACAGAAAGAGCTCAGACACCTGTTCAAATTGGATATATCTTCCCTCAGGTAAACTAAACTTTCCTACTGCTCAAATGAACCGCCATGCATAACTCTCTTGAAACAACAGAGCAGTAGTGAGCAAAGATTCACAAATATATATAAAAAAGTGCTCATTGGAGTAATATAGATGAATGAAAAGGGATAGAACTTACTGTGTCGGTGCCGAGCATCTCGTGCTTTCAAGTACTTCTGCTCTGCAGTTACAGATTCCAATGCTTCTCTAAGCTCTGCAATTTTGACATTTATTGGGTCTAAATGTTCTGCAACAGAAAAACACATTTCCTCAGGAAGGAGATAATTACAGAAAACTCCTGCAAGGTTGCCCAAGAAGTATAATCAAGCTAGCAAGTGTCTGGAATCAATATAAACATCCCCATAGAAGATGTAAGGATACTTCCAACTAATATTTCAGGGCCTTGAAATACATAGGAATGTGAAACAAGACAGCCTCTAGCCAGGTCCTGTAGGAATTAACTTTTGAAAGATTGAAAGTGTTATCACGGAAGAATTGACAAACCGTCTTTAGCCAGGTCATGCTCATTGGGAATGTGACCAACATGAATGTAGAATGAGACAGTCTCTGGTGTATTGTAGGGATTGTGGAAACAAAATTTGTACATTCCACTTCTGGGGGCTTTAAACTCAAACTTGTCTCCAGATGTCCCCTTCAAAGTATGCACGGTATTACCAGCGGGAGATGTCACCTGCATAAAATCCGAGACCAAAAGTGAATAGATGAATAGCCTGGAAAAATTAGTGAAGAAAAAAAAAAACCGCAGATAATGATAACATCCACCAATAAACATGTTTTAAAGCTGTTAATCTTGCTGCATCAACCACATTCTATCCCTGTCAGGACCTTGAGAAGAACATTCTAACAATACACTTAAATTTTAACAATAGGCTTAAAAGTGTAGATTCTCCTTGTAGCCTGATATTTAGAGTTGGATCGTATCACAATTGCTCCATATAGCATCAAGAGGTTTCCCACTCAACTCTTTTTTTTTTTCTTTTGAGATAAGCAGAATATACATTAGCAGTCACCAAGTGCCTGCCACCCATATACAAGAATTACAAATGTCAGAAATAAAAAAGTCTATTAGGTTCCCAAATCCTTTTTCTTTTTCTTTCTTATTTTCTTTCTTATTTTCTTCATCTTACTTTCCTATTAATCAAAGGGCCAAGAGAGAAAAAAAAAAGGAACACAAGAAAAGGAACAAACGAATGCAGATAAAACAAGGAGGAAGATGGAAAGGGGTTGAATACGAGGTCAATTATAGGATGATATGACATTCGTTTTCTCCATATTCGTCAATGTCTTCAAGTAAAAAAACAACGATTTCGATTTTATTTCTAAATTCTAACTGAAAATTTAGTTGACAACCATACAGATAATCGACACAAACTAAAACCCTAAATGGATTCGATGAGATGCGAGTACAAATTTAGAATCTGAAACCCACCAAATTCCAATGAGATTCAAATGCAAATTTAGAATCTGAAAGACCGATCGTGAATTACTAAATTAACTGCGAATCCGCAAATTTAATAACCCAGATACAAGATTTATCCTCAAGCTCCTCGAGGAAATAAGATCAAACAAAAAATTCAATACTGAAACCAAATAACAAATGCCAATTGGGTCGAATCTCGATGGAGAGGAAGGAATTGCACTTACTGTGAAATCGATGCCAGGGTGATCTGAGCTCCAGAATATGTCGTGATCGACGACAACGAAGTTTCCCGAAATGGTGTCTCCTTCGTAGAGGACGTACTCGTAGACGCATTCTTGGTCGTTTACCGTCACCGATAGGCAGCTTATACGCTCAATGAAGCTGAACAAGAGAATACCTATGAAACAAAGTACTAGCGTATTCCGATGTCTCCGCTGTATCTCCATAGTCTTCTTCTCCTCCGGTCCCTCCGTTACAATTTATTTTGATTTTCTATCTTCTGCGAATCGAGTGCGCGAATTTATGAACTTCTGGGGTTTCTATTGCTGTGTATCCACAACTGGTCCCGTTTTAGCTATGTGACCAGGGACTGATTGGCATGGCAAGTTTGCTAGTCTGGCCCATTAATTTTTGTGACCTTAACGACACCGTTTTGCTCATAAATAAACATCACTCATCTCAGACGGCACCGTTTTGATGATATCATGCAGGGAAGACGCCGCCGCCATCTAACATTTAAACGGGCTATTCAGGTTCTTGTCCGAACGATACCTATTTAAGCCAGGTGCTAGAAAGGGTGTAGTCTTATAAATAAAATCAAACGACGTCCTTCTATGTTAGAACATGGTTAGGTACTTGAGTAACTTGACAATCATCATCCATTTTATTAAATATTCTAAGTTCGTAGGTTAAAAAAATATTAAACTAAATCCTTAAATGATAAAAAAATTTTAAAAGGAGAAAAAAGATCCAATTCCAATTTCACTTACATCATCACCAAAGCAATAAGTTATTTATTACATACAGTCACTAGAAGCCAGTATAAACTCATCCATGATCATTACTTCACACGCAACTTAAATAAATATTGGTGAAGGAGATATCAATGAAGTTTGGATCACTTTGGTGGGGTATCAGCAAATTTCCAGACATATTCAGAAAGCATTTCCATTTCTCTGTAGCCACCCACTTCATCAATCGGCACAGCATCCTTAATTTCTTTCAAATTCTCTTCACTCAGCTTCACTCCCATCGACTCAATGTTACTTATAATATTCTTCACTTTAGTTGTTCCTGCACCATATATATATACATATATGTACATAAATAGTTGAACAATGAAACTAAAAGTTATAAATTCATTTATGTATGTGTACCAGGAATTGGAACTATGTCGTCTCCCTGATGAAGAATCCATGCGAGGGCCAGCTGAGGAACAGTGCAGCCATGCTTTGCCGCCAGGTTGCTCAGTCGCCCATATATAATCTTGTTCTTCTCCAGATTCTCCCCTGTGAATCTCGGATGCATAGCCTGTTCAGAACATGTATGTAAATACATAACAAGTTGAAGGCCACGTAGTAATAAAATATTGTTTGACCTAACGAAAGAGAAGTAGAATACATAAGTTAATTACCAGCATACTCTCATTTGGCAAGCTTTCTTCTACTGCCTTGCCGGCAAAGAAGCCGTGGCCGAGAGGACCATATGCCACAATTCCAATCCCAAGTTCTCTGCCAACATATATATCTATATACATTAATTACTATGACGGATTTGATTCTGCAACGTACAACTAATCATTTAACAGTACCCCACATCTCAGAGTACAATGAACAAACCGGCAAAGAGGAATAATTTCATCTTCAATGTCACGAGTCCAGAGAGAATACTCCATTTGTATGGCAGTGAGAGGATGAACTGCATGAGCTCTTTTTATTGTATCAATACTTGCTTCTGACAATCCAATGTATTTAATTTTTCCTTCCTCTACCAACTTCTTCAGCTCTCCCATCTGCCTCACTCAGGCGTTCAAACATATAATTAATTTGGACTTGTAAATTACAAAAACAAAACATTATTTATATATATAATTACTTACAGTGTCCTCTATCGGGACAGATGTGTCCACTCGGTGCTGAAAATAGAGGTCAATGTAGTCAACATCTAGGCGTTTAAGACTAGCTTCACAGCATTTCCTAACATATTCAGGGCTGCCCTTCACCACTAATTTTCCCTCTTCTGACATTGACAGTCCGAATTTTGTTACCAATTGAACCTTTTCTCGAGGGAACTCCTTCAACGCCTAAAAATCAAACAACTAGTCTTATTAATTTGTCAACAATTTCATTGTATATCTCCTCAGCATCTTTCTTATATATATATATATATATATATGTCTGTAAGAGGAGATGAGAACCTTCGCAATCATGATTTCATTGTCATGGTCTTGACCGTAGGCATCAGATGTGTCAAAGAAAGTGATGCCTGCCTTGAAGACTTCCTTCAAAACTGAACACCCCACTTCATGTGGGAGAGGAGCATTCAATAACCCAGAAAGTCCCACGCAACCAAATCCTAATCTAGACACCTGCACAATCAATATATACGTATAAATTAACTCAAACCCACTTTCTTGTTTTCTTTTTCTTCAGTTCCAAACACATAAAAGGAGCTTATTATGATAAAAACAAAAGTACATATTATGTCAAAGTACGTGGGTTATAGAAACTACGTAGAAGCTAGCCATTGCTCTAATTTCTTAGTTGATGACCAAGAGCAGATATTGATTATGCAAATGAAAGTAGATAATGATTTATTAAAGAAGAAAAAGAAAAGGCAGAAGAAGCTTATTTACTTGAAGTCCCTGATTGCCCAATTTCACCATTGGAAGGTTTACTATGCCCGTCTCCATCTTCAGTCAAACACATGAATGATCCAAGCTCAGTTTATATACATATATATACGTATATTCTATGCCCTTCCTTGTAATTTGCTTGTTACAGCTACCTTAATAATATTTCTATGATACTGGTTTTTTAGTAGGAGTCGATAAGCACGTGATAACGCCAACTCCTCCTCAGATCACATTAAATCATGTATAATTAGGTTTAGGAATTCAATGATATAAATATATAAGTTAGTAGTAGCTCGTAACATATGCTGCCGGTGCTTCTGTACCTATTACCAGTCAACCACCTAATCTTCCTTCAAATTAATAAATGAAAAATCCATCTTCTCAGATCGAAACTGAAACCTCGTAAACTGTATAGAAATCCTTAACCTAAATGTGTTTATCTAAGAATGAGTTTGATATTCTTTGAATTTTTGTATCTCCATTTCATCTATGCAGGAGTTTAGTAAGTTTAGTGTGTGTTCAATTGAATGCCTATGCATATACAGCTGTCCAGACACAAACATTTTCTTCTCAAGTTCTGATGGACCTGCCACTATGAGCGTAAGACTGGTATGTTTGAAGAACTGAATTATACTTTTATTCTTTTGATCAAGTTTCCCTACACCTCTAGTTCCCAGCTGCTGTTGATTCAAATATTAGAATTAATTGTTTGTTTTTCTTCTGTTTTATTATCATTTTTCTAATATAACCAGTTACATTTCCTAGTTTAGCCCTTTACTTCGTATATAAATAACAAACATTCAAATATCAATATACAGAAAAATTAAGAATATTTTTTCTTCTCTAAATTCACTGTTTCCTTTTCTAATATGGTATCAGAGCAATAAGCTCCTACTAATTCCGCTACACCTCATTAAGCTACTATGGCCAAAGGTGGTGGTGGCTCCTCATCACAGAATCAATTTCAGCCGTTGGCAGCATCTTCAACCCAAAATTCACAGACTACCTAAACCTCACAAAACACCCATTCAGATGAAATCCATAACCCATTTTTTCTTCATAGCTCAGATCATCCTGGGCTTACGTTGGTCTCTCACACACTAAATGGGAACAATTACAACACTTGGTCGCGCGCGATGTGCTTCACTTTGAACGCCAAAAACAAATTTGGCTTCTTGGATGGATCTATTTCTCAACCGGTTGAGACAAATCCTATGGCAGGGACGTAGTTCCGCTGCAACAACATGGTTTTCTCCTGGCTTCTCAGCGCCATGGCAAAAGATATAGCAGATAGTCTCCTCTACCTTGATAGCGCGCGGGCAATGTGGGTCGACCTCCATGATCGATTCCAACAAAGCAACGCCCCTCGCATTTTTCAGCTGAAACAAATGATGAACAACTTAGTACAAGGGGTCCTTAATGTTAATAGCTACTATACGAGAATGAAAAAGTTGTGAGATGAACTTAAAACTTACCAGCCTACTTCGGTATGTTGTTGTGGAGGAATGAAAGACTGGAATGATTATATAGAGCAGGAATTCGTTATGCTCTTCTTAATGGGACTCAACGATTCTTACACGTCCATATGGAGCCAAATCCTCATGATGGAAACACCTCATTCCATCTCGAAAGTCTTCAGTCTCGTGATTCAGGAGGAGAGACATCAGGTTGTCGCAAACGCCATTGGAACAGAGGCATTCAGCGGCGCGATGGAATCTGCCAATGTTGCCCTAACACAGGGAGGAAGAAGAAGGCCCACGTGTACCCATTGTGGGCTTCTGGGCCATGTAGTGAACCAATGTTATAAACTACATGGGTACCCGCTTGGCTATTGGTCCAAATCCAAAGGCACATCTGGGTCATCTACTACCACTAAAGCCCAACAACGTGGATTTTCACAAACCGGATCTTCACAAATCGGGTCTTCACTAAAATTCGTTGGGTTACAATCTTCTTCTTCCCCGAATGTCTCCTCCACTGTTGTTCCCACTGGTTTCATCGGCGTGCCGTCTGCCACCTCTAGTTCTGCTGCCTCTGTTATGGCTCTTTGAGGCTAGGTACTTAGGTTGCAAGGCGTCCTCTGTTCCTATGGAACCAAATCTCAAGATTTCCAAAGAAGATGGAGAACTGCTTGGTGATGTCACCAGTTATAGACGGTTAATTGGGAAGCTATTATATTTAACTATCACTCGGCCGAACATTTGTTACTCTGTTAATCGTTTGAGTCAATTTTTAACTGCACCCCGGACAAGTCACCTTCAAGCTGTTCTAAGGATTCTACATATATTAAAGGAATACCAGGACAAGGGATTCACTTCCCTGCAAATTCTCATATTTAAGTAAAAACCTTCTCTGATGCCGACTGGGGCACCTGTCCTAACACTCGGAGATCTCTAACAGGATATTGTACTTTTGTCGGATCATCACTCATATCATGAAAATCCAAGAAGCAACAAACTATGTATCGATCTTCTGCAGAAGCTGAATATCGTTGTATAACAAATACAACATGTGAAATAATATGGATCTTGAATTTAATGAAAGATTTGAATGTCAAGCACATAGGGCCAACATTATTATATTGTGACAATCAAGCTACTCTTCATAAAACTGCCAATCCAGTTTATCATGAAAGAACAAAACACATCGAGTTAGATTGTCATTTTGTTCGAAAAAAGATCCAAGCTGGAACACTCAAAACCATGCATGTCTCTTCCAACAACCAACTCGCGGATTTGATGACTAAAGCTCTTCCTTCTACACAGTTCCATACACTTTTAAGCAAGATGGGTACGATCAATATATACTCTCCATCTTAAGGGGGAGTATTAGAATTAATTGTTTGTATTTCTTCTGTTATCAATTTTGTTATCATTTTTCTGTTATAACCAACTACTTGTAAATTTCCTAGTTTAGCCATTTACTTTGTATATAAATAGCAAATATTCAAATATCAATATACAGAAAAATTAAGAGCATTTTTTCTTCTCTAAATTCACTGTTTCCTTTTCTAATATAAAATAATTAGTTCCATCTTCTTGGATATCACAAAAACTTATGGATCTTAAAACATACACACTCCTAATTTGGATGATGATTCTTAATATCAATATATTGATAATTAGATGGTTTTATACTATAGCTAGTTGAAATGATTGTACAACATAATATATCTAAACAATCAACTATGCCCATAAACGTAAAAACAGAGTTACAAGCAAGATTGCACTTGCTTCTAATACCCAACATTTTCCTTTAATCCATTAGCCAATTTGAACTCCATTACCTCTGACCAAATACAAATTAATAGCTAAGCTATAATTTTAATTTAGTTTATGGATCCTTTGTGAAAGAGGAAAGTAGAAGATGAGATACACTTAGAGTAGTCTCCACTAGTACTCAATATTGATAGTAAAATCATATACCATCAAATCAAAAATTCATCTTGTTAATAGTAAGCGAGTTCTTAATTTTTAGAATAAAAAAACACACTCAAAGAGATTGAATAAAATGAATATCATTTAAAAAATAATAATAAAACCGTGAATTTTACACCTCAAATTCTTGAAAATATATAAATTGATAATTAATTTGTTAACTTTGAATTTTTTAGTTTACTTTTAAATATAAAATTCTCCATTGTAAATAAACTGTAACACTTATCTAACAATGGGTACTGATTTCCAAATTATTTACATAATGATTTATTTAGAAAAGAGAAGAAAAATTTTGATTAATAATATAAATGAAAACTATGATTATTATGTCTTTTATGTGAAAAAATAAATTGTTATGTAAATTTACTGTCTATTATGTAAAAGATAACTATATAGTAAAAAATATAAAAATAATTCTAATAATAAATATTTTAAAAATAATTTATATAAAAAAATTAAAATAAAATAACATTTCCCAAATATACATATAAATATTTAATAAGATAATTTATGTAATAACATTATTAATCAATTTCATCGATATATTTAACACAATATAATAATAACTAATAATTTAAATTATATTTAAAGATTAACTGATTAAACCCTTTTATTAGTAATTTATTTCAGAA